CTGCCAGGGGAAGCGGCGCGGTTGTTCCCCCCCCCCGCCGCGTGTCAGTGCTGTCTTGGACCTTACAGGCGCTCCCCGCTGCACAGCTCGCCTTGGTGGCGGGGAAAGGGTTAAAAAGTTCCCCTTGCTCAGTGGCAAAGCAAGGGGGAAGGAGGGCTGGCGCTCCCTCCTCCTCCCCCCCCGCGCCCACTCTTCCCTAGCAGCTCCCAAAACTCCTGCTTGCCCGCCAGCTCGGGATCCGGAGAGGAATCCTGACTCGGATATAGGGCTGAGGTTCTGATTTCTCTGCGCTAGGAAGGCAAAACACCAGCGTGAATGGATTCCGACCGGGAGCTGTTGGCCGGTCTCAGTTTTTCTCCTCTGTTTGGGCGCTTCTGGATGAAAGACAACGCACCTCAGCTAGTGATGAATACACGCTTCCCCAACAGGTGGGCCCCAGCGCCCAATCCAAGGAAAGCCTTTAATGGTTTTCCTGGGCTTAGAACAAACTTCAGGGATCAGGATCAAGGAGGAGTGCCTGGGGAGGACTGCCTGAGCCTCCTCCCCTGTTGTCTATGCCTGCTTTCTATGGAGGGTTTCAATCCTATTTAATCCAGCGAATAACTCAATGCAGACATGCTTTGAATGAAGACATTTATCAGTTGTGTGAAGTGATGATAAGCTTACCTGCCGGGAGCTCAGTCCATTTCTCTAAATTACCACTTTTGTAAACTAATATTGGAATACTCAAAAAGGAAAAGAAGAGGGGCTATATTAAGGGGGGGGGAAAATGGTACAAAATTGTTAAAAATTAAGCAAGCATTTAATAATTGTAAGCTTAATCATAATATAATTACATTAATCATTATTAATAAAGATGCCAAAATATATTATGTGGCAGTATTAAAATAAAACATCAACTTAATACTTAGGTCACACGTGCATTTTTCAGTATCTTATTTTATGTTTTGAAAAACATAATCGCTTCAATACATTCCATATTAGCTTAGAATTTTGCCATAATTATAACCTATAATATTTTCTTAAGAACTCATTAGGTGGCCTGAGACCTGATTTCTCTTAATTACAAGTTGCAATCTAGCCCTAATAAATTATAAAATAAATTTATTTTTATTTCAGTACAGTAGAGTCTGTCTTTGGTACATAGTCTCCAATTGACACAGAGATGAATTCTAGTAACCATTAGTATGGTACACAAAATCATATTATCACAAAGCATATAAAAATTCCATGGAATTATTTATGTGCACTGAAGTGCCAGATTATCTGTGGGTAGAACAAAACACATGAAAGATTCAAAACTGTTTTTTTTTAGGAGATAAAATGGAATAAGTGTGACTTCCTAAATATAATAAAGGAAGGAGAAAGATTTAAATGTGATGAATTAGGGAATCCAAGAATTCTTCCTCTTGACAGACTGGCTTCTGCTCTGATTGTAAATCGTCGCCCTATTCTGTGACATAATTTAGAACCAACTCTTTTAGCAGCAGTGCCGATCAAGAACAGTGGCCCCATAGTATGACTCGCCTTTTCCCTTTTAATAATAGTGCAATTAAATAATTTTAGACTCAATTTTCTTCTAGTGGGAGGTATCATTGAAAATGTAGGGCTTATAATGCCTTTCACATTAAAACATGCTGACTTAGCCTTGCTCTCTCTCTCTCTCTCTCTCTCTCTCTCTCTCTGTGTCTGTGTGTGTGAGAGAGAGAGAGAAAGAGAAAGAGAGATGGAATAAGGGGCTTCTGATCTTTCTGTGGAGTGATGCCCAGAGCCTCTGCCTTGCTTCGATGGCGCTACTGTTTTTGAAACTGGGCAAGGGGGAGGCTAGATCAGCTATTTTGGGAACATTGTCATCATTTATTTGTTCATCAAAACAAATTATAGAACACCCTTCCTCAGGATACCTGTTTATCCTTCTGCCAGCAGGTGAAAACATTCATTTTTAAACAGATGTTTGGCATCTAAATTTGGACACCTCATGGGATAGCATATACTGTATAACATCCATATA